TTTTTAATCAAATAATTTTTTTAAATATTAAGGTTCATGACATATCATAATACACTAAACAATCATGATAGTCCGAAATTGTGTGAAAATTACATTTCTGTTCAGATGACAGTATTGTTTGTATTTATATAGTATTATATTTGTATTCCACCGTGCGCGTATACAATGCAGATGCATGCAGATGTAAGTGCGTTACGTATACGTATGTAGGCTGAGATAAATGGAGGTGCCTAAGCAGCCATTCACTGCTACAGGATTCAGTAGAGTTTGAGACCACACCGATTAACATGGTTTTTCATTCGTTACTCTTATTCGATATATTTTAAATAATTCATAAATTTTCATAATACTTGACATTTAATAATAAAATAATAATAAAATGATTGAAAATATACAACGAAATATGAAAATATTCACATTTTCCGAGGGTGTTTTAACGAAGTGCAAAATAAAATAACTAAAATCAATTTAATGTGACACATGTGAATACACAGTAATGAAAAATTATTGGTGTTGGTAACAAATTTTCGTTGACTTCTGGAAACATGTTCTATCCGCAGAGAATGATGAGACAAATCTCAGAAATCTCCTATGTAGGGTACGTATTACATTTTATTATACTTTTTTTACAAAAAGTTGATAATTTAATATGAATAATTTCTCATAATATTATTTAAATTTAATTGTAACATTTATCAATTGATCGATTAAATGTCATATACTTTCGAAACCAACTCAATTATAAGAAATTCTATCCATTATCAATTTCAAATAGGAAGTGGTAATATATACATTTTTTTTAAATATTTGGGATATAGTAAAAAATAAAAAGAAAACGATTATAAGTCGAAACGTATAAAACCGGTTTATAATGATAAAATAAGAACACGAGTCACATATATACCTACCCGTCGTGATTCGTTTTGTTGTTGCTGTAATTCCAATGACGACTGCTTCTCGGAAACATGCTCAATCCAATAATTAAATTGGATACCGCTGGAATTCGTGATAGTGTAATAACGGTCGTTCGTAAAATCGGGATTAACTGACAAAATTTTGTGCGATTTGTCATATATAATGACACACAACACCGTTTCCACATCCTTGTCAGAGCTTGCCAAGGCTTTATCTCGTTGAGATAAATCAACCATGACATACATCACAGAGGAGTCCATGTAAAGATAATGATTCGCTCGAATCCTTGTTTCACTAGGTGCATCATCTACTACCGTTTTATTGTACCTTTCAAGGAAAGGTTTACGATTTTGCAAGGCCGGCAATGCAGCTTGGTTTCTGATCATCAATTTCGTTGTATAAGGTTTCGTTAACAGTTCCTTTTCCGCATAGTACAAGTCGTTTTGTGTATAAGTGTACAGTTGAGAACCCTGAATATCCTTCTCTTTGATTTGTCGATAATATTCCTTCTGACATTCACTCAGGCAATTTTTTTCTTCGCTGTAAAAACTTAGTTCGAATGGACTGAATACTTTTTCCTGCCAGTTAAAAGTACGGTCTTCTTCTTCAAGAAAATTCGAGTCCCTCGTATCCCCTTCGTTCTCGAGCAGTTCTACAAGTAAAGACCTTTGCTGTACGATTTTGACTCTGAAATAATAAATGCACAGAAGAAAAATACAATTTAGAAGGTAGAAACAATCTCTGCCAGATGGCCGAGATCTAATTCTATCGACACATCTGCCACGAGTTTCGGCGGCAAAACGGTGATGTTGTTTCAGCGATCGAAGTTAATCATATTACATACAATATGTACTTCCAACAGAATAGAAGAACGAATAATACGAAGAACTTTACAAATTTTTCGTTACTAGTTAAATTTTCCGTTTTAACGATGAATCATACATTGAAATATGTTTTACCTTATTTTAAAGTTATTTATAGGTTCTTTAACTTTGTAGTTAGCGGTTATTTTTGTTTTCCGTATTTTATTTGACATTTCTTTCACTATTGAACGTATCTATTGTTTGATAGGGAACTGATTCGAAAGGAAGTACATTTAAGTACTAGTTAAAAAAAGAAACTGTAGAAAACTGTCGACAATCGCGTACGAATGCATTGTTTGTGGATTCTCCTGTTGCTTAGTAACTGGTGTGACATACAGACGCGGTTTTCAGAATTTCACCTGCATTGCACGTTCCGTTATACATTGTCCCTATATGTAATCTTAATAAATTGTTTTTAAATTAAGAATGAAACGTAGGCGTGAGGCATACATCCTGTTAAGTCAGCTTTTTACAAGGTATCACTGATAGGTAGTGCATAAAAACGACAATATTTCGACAAATGTAGAAATATTAACAGAGATGTAAATTATACATTTTCTATACTAAATTGTAGCAAATGTTGTAAATAAAGAAATAATTTCAATTATTTCAATAATGTCAATTATTATTATCTATGTAATGGTTTAATATTAAATAAAATATATCTGCTTTAGATTACATTAGCATCATTGATACAAATAATTGTGCATACAAATTTTAATAATTCATCAGTTTAAGTTTTATTTATGTTTTGTGCAATAATTATTTGTGTAATAACAGAAAGATAAAAAGATTTTTTATTTTAAAGGTAAAGATATGTATTTATGACAAAATAATAAAATATTAGGATATGTAAACCATGCCAAAAAAGGTTTGCATAAATAATTCCTAACATTTTCGTAAATGTTTTCAAAATTTCATATTGTTTTTAGAAACTTTTGGTTCGTGTAAAATTTTGATACAATTCAATATAAATTTATGATACTTGTTATAATGCAGTCTTTTCATAAATGTTCGTACGTTATGTTTTACTTTAAAAATTTGTCAGTATTAGATAAAGTTCTGTATATTATTGATAACTCTTTGATGAAAGCAACCCTACGTGTATCAAGTTATCTAATGTACATACGTATGCGCGGTTTTAATGATTCACTAAGAAAATTAAACGAATCGTCAAGGTAAATTTTTCTTTACTACTACGACCATACACATGAATTGCAATTTCTTTGATATCATATTGCAACTACCAAACATAAAAATTCTTACTCCTATGAATGCACTAATTTTATCCATTTATTATCTTAGATATTAAATTGTATTTATTTATAATAAAGTAAAATAAAACAATCATTTAATCCATGAATCGTGTAATTATTTTTATTCTTTAAATCACAATAACCACTAAACAGGTAGGAAACGTGACGAACGAAGTTGGAGGACCGTGTCGACAATCGGTAAAGGTACAATTACAACATTTTACTACAGACCGCAACATCTTGCAGTATATACTTTCTATTCGTGCGATGCTTGGCCGTTTTAGTTCACCTGTTGTGACGCGAGCGACTTTCAGCTGCACGGTTTTTCAGTCTATTCTATTATATCTGATGATACAAATCTATATATTATAATTTGTTGATTATAGTAATGAAGAATTTCGTTCGGAGATAATCTAAGTAATTTCGTTACCGATAAGATTTTTCATCGACCCTGCAGGTATTAAGGTCAATGCTTCTTCCGAAATAAATAAAATGTGCTTACATATAGTGTACATCACGCGGATGTAGAATACATTTCTGATTAAATATTTGTCGTCGGTGCTGCGTAAGTTTCCTTTGGCAATTTTCCGGATAAAATATCGATCTGATAAGATAAAATAAATGTGTGTCATTTGTATGAAGAATGTTAAGTAAGAACTAATCTATTCGTAACAATCAGTCAACGAAGCGGTTTCATTGTTCACGCATGTACCTGCGTGATCACTAAATAGGCATAATTAGCATTATTTGCATAGCCGATATCCATTTTACCGATATATATCAAATATAGGTATAGTAAATTAAAATTTTGATGTATATTCTTCCTTTTTTATTTCGTATGATTTTTCTTAGTAATTATAATAATAATGAACTGCTTCATGATATATGGATTTAGCTTTTCTTTAGTTGAAAGAATTGCAGAAAGTGTAATATAGTTTGTGAATAATTATGACATTATTTTATGTAATATACTATATATAACTACATATTATGTAGTTTTATTCTATGTGTATGTTACAGAGGTTTCAAACTGATAAGAATGTCAACTAATCAAGAAGGAGAGTCTGGTATAACAATACCATTGCAATATAATAATTCTGTAAGGATTGATGTTATGTGTTCATTTTCATTACCAATTTCTTATAACCTTTATAGATATTATATATTATAAATTTAATAAAAGGTTTATTCATATACATAACATAACAATTCCTGTATTGCAGCATTGGAAAGCTATATTTGAAAAATATGATCTTGATGGAGATGGAAAAATCTCATATCAAGAATTGAGAGCTATGATACGCAGTTCAGCTTATTCGAATGATATTCCAACCAGAGTTGTCCACATCATTATGCGTAAGGCAGATTTAGATGATTCTGGATATTTAGATTATCCAGAATTTATAGCTATGGTATTTTCATTTCTACTATTATTATGTTTCTTGCAGTCTTGCTTTAATTTAAGAT